CACACATCAGTTTAAGTCTGCAAGTTGGATGTACACCTTGACAACCATTGGGTTAGATAGCTTCGTTTTTGTTTTAGCATCATATATTTCTCATTACACTGTATACCCCCAACCCTTTTGGAATATCCAAACTCTGCTTTTGGAAGAAACGTATTTGCAACTCTCTGAATGTAAACATAGATGAAACTTCCTAAGGTGAACCAACACACAGCAGAGCAGTTTGAAATATATGTTTCTCTTGTGTTTTAGATGCAGTCTTACTGATGCTTCTTATATGCCTACATATAGCAGGAAATATCCGTTTCTAGATTCCCCAAAGAAATCGTTTCTGAACTGCTACATACATATATCAGTTTAACTCTGTACGTTAAATGGGCACCTTGAAAACCATTCTGCTAGATAGTTCCATTTTTGTTTTAGAGCCAGATATTTCTTATTACAACATACACTTCCCTTCACTCTGAAATATCCAAATGTAGCTTTTAGAAGAAACGTTTTTCAAACCCGCTGAATCTGAATATAGATACAACCTACTAAGATGAGCCAACAAAGAGCAGAGCAGTTTGAAATGTAAGTTTCTCCTGTGTTTTAGACGCAGTCTGACTGCTAATTCTTATATGGATGTATACGACTGGAAATATTTTTTTCTAGATTCTCCAAATAAAGGGTTTCTGAACTGCTGCAGATGCACATCAATTTATGTCTGCAAGTTGAATGCACAGCTTGACATCCATTCTGTTACATAGCTCCGTTTTGGTTTTAGAGCCAGATGTTTCTTATTGTAGCATGTACTCCCATTACCTATGGAATATCCAATGCTGCTTTTAGAAGCCTGTTGCTAACTCGCTGAATCTAAACATAGATGCAACTTCGGAAGATGATCGTACACACAGCAGAGCAGTTTGAAATATACGTTTCTCCTGTGTTTTAGACACAGTCTTACTGCTAATTCTTATATGCCTGTATATGACTGGAAATATCCGTTTCTAGATTCTCCAAAGGAAAGTTTTCTGAACTACTACATACACACATGAGTTTAACTCTGTAAGTTGAATGTCAACCTTGAAAACCATTCTAGTACATAGCTCTGTGTTTGCTTTAGAGCCAGATATTTCTCATTACACAATATTCTCCCAATGACTCTGGAATATCCAAACGCAGCTTTAGAATACACGTGTTTCTAACTCCCTTAATCTAAACATAGATACAACTTCCTAAGGTGAACAAAAACACAGCAGAGCAGTTTGAAATATACGTTTCTGCTTTGTTTTAGATGCAGCCTTACAGCTAATTCTTATATGCATGAATAAGACTGGAATTATCCTTTTCTATATTCTCCAAAGAAAGGGTTTCTGAACTGCTACCTACACACATCAGTTTATCTCTGTCAGTTGATTTTACACCTTAAAAACCATTCTGCTAGATAACTCCATTTTTATTTTAGAGTCAGATATTTCTCATTACAGCCTACGCTTACATTCACTCTGGAATATCCAAACGCAGCTTTTAGAAGAATCGTGTTTGTAACTTGCTGAATCTAAATACGGATGCAACTTCTTAAACTGAAGAAACTCCCAGCAGAGAAGTATGAAAGATACGTGTCTCCTTTGTTTTAGACGGAGTTTTACTGGTAATTCTTATATGCGTGTATATCACTGGAAATATCCTTTTCTAGATTCTCCAAAGAAAGCGTTTCTTAATGTCTGCATACACACGAATGTATAACTCTGTAAGTTGATTCCACAACTTGACAGCTATTCTGCTAGATAGCTTGGTTTCTGTTTTAGCACCAGACATACCTGATGATATCCTATACTCCCATTCACTCTGGAATATCCCATCACAGCTTTTAGAAGAAACCTCTTTCGAACCTGCTAAATCTAAACATAGGTGCAACTTCCTAAGTTAAACGAACACACAGCAGAGCATTTTGAAATATACATTTCTCCTGTGTTTTAGGGACAGTCTTACTGCTAATTCTTATATGCCCTTTAAGGCTGTAAATATCTGTTTATAGATTTACTAAAGAAAGTGTTTCTGAAGTCCTGCATTCACACATCAGCTTAACTCTGTATGTTGATTGTACACCTTGACAACCATTCTGCTAGATAGCTTCATTTCTGTTTTAGAGCCGCATATTTCTCATTACAGCCTATATTCCCATTCAGTCTGGAATATCCAAAGGCAGATTTTGAAGAAACGTGTTTCTAATTCGCTGAATCGAAACACAGATGCAACTTCCTAAGGTGAATGAACACACAGCAGAGCACTTTGAAAGATATGTTTCTCCTGTGTTTTGGACACAGTCTTACTGCTAATTCTTATATGCCGGTATACGACTGGAAATATCTGTTTCCAGATACTTCAAGGTAAGAGTTTCTGAACTGCTGCATACACACATCAGTTTAACTTTGTAATATGAATGTACACCTTGAAAAGCATTCTGCTAGAGATCTCCGTTTTTGTTCAGAGCCAGATATTTCTCATTACAGCCTATATTCCCATTTCCTCAGGAATATCCAATCGCAGCTTTTAGAAGAAATGTGTTTCTAATTCGCTGAAACTAAACAAAAATGCAACTTCCTAAAGTGAACAAACACACAGCACAGCCGTTTGAAAGATACGTTTCTCCTGAATTTTAGACGCAGACTTACCGCTAATTCTCATATGCCTGTAAA